GAGTCGAACGTTTATCCGCCACCCTTTTTACCCACGAATTATATTATCTCGGGCTTACAGGGTCTGCAAAACCCCTCGTTTCTGCGTATCTATTATTCCTATTATTATCTGCATGTTTCCCATACTGCATTTCCATTGTCTGCAACATATTTGCATAGAGGTAGAGTTAATTTTAACATTCACCCGATGAATCGTGATTTTCTTTGATTTGTTTTTTCCTGTCCTGCATTGTGGAATGGCTTCCAATTATCCACACTTTTTGTGGATAAGAAGAGTAGCTTTTGGAAGTAATCTTATATTCCATGATTTTCTACACTGTTTGCAGATATATTGAGTAAAATTCATAGACGCAGGAGCCGAATGACATCCCTGTCTCACTTCAACGTGAACCACCACTCACCACAAATACAAAGATTCCCCATATATCCTTTAACATACTTTTAGGCTAAGTGTTGTTCCCGAGTACCTATGAAGGCTGGCGCGGTACACGAGGGAGTGGGTAGCCAACACCACAACCAACAGCCTTTGGCTCCCCAGCGGCGCTGTTTACGCACCACAACCAGGTATTCATTTGAGACTGAGTCGACCTAGGAGCGGCCCAGGACCACTTTAGATAATCCTCACGGGTGTTGGCCGGATTCAAACTCGAGTCGCCGGGTTCGTAGACACACGCACGCACACACTGGACAGACTGACTTTTATTTTTTTTCCCCACGACTGTAATTGTGGCTCAGCGGATATGGACGGAAGGTGCAACGTCTCTGACGTAGATTGAGCGTGTGCATGTGTAAGATTCTGAACAAATCACTGTCTCAGTTTGCTACCTTGGTAACAAAGGTTGCCTAATGCTCGGAGCAATCAGACAGATTTCTCCTCGTGAGCTGATGGGGGTGCAAAGAGAGGCTGCAAACGCATGCCACTTCATGGCATGTAGACCTTGGGTGATCATAGAAACAGCGCTAGCTACCATTAGCAACACTAATTTAACATCCATATAATAACAACACAGTCATTTTTTTGTGATATAACAAAAAAAAAACTTAACTTTTTCTGGAAAAAATGCATGTGTTAAGAAGTTCAAACACCAAACAGACATTAAGAAGGCGTCAAGACGGCATGAAACAAATATGCGTGTGAGCATGTATGTACGGTATGTTTGTTGAACTTCTTTCGCACCGTACATAGCCAACCGTGCGGGTGATGGACAACAACCGAAACATTGGATCTAGCATGGTGTAGATTCATACGTTTAATAAGTGGATTCGGAATCGCTGTATCTCTAGATTCCTGTTAAATAGGAAAGCATACGTCCAAGATAACCAGGGTAACGTTATTTGGGGATGACACACTCCTACTTTATGCCTCATTATTTAATGGACTCATTCTATCGCTGTACTGCGCAAACATTAAATTAAACTACTAAACTATTTTTTTCATTTTACCAGGTAAGTCCCACTGAGCTATGTAGCTAATTTTCAGAAGCGACCTGGCCACAAATGATAGCTCAACGAAGTGGCTTATCACGTGGAAATTTATAGCAGCCAAATACTCTGAACGCGCAAGAAAAATCCACGCAACCACGGGGGAGATAGACATGCACATTCCAAATGTACAGGCGTCAGGGTCGGGATCGAATCGACGACTCGTTGTTTACCAAGGCGAAGTAGTTCACATCTCGCCACACGAAATTAAGGTGTGTTCAGGACTGTAAAAAAAAACAAAATAGTTTCCAAAGGTGCACATGGCGAAATCTACTCACTACAAATCGCTCAGCAGATCGTTTGAAAGCAGATTGTCTCTACGAGCAAGCAACCAGTTGCGCAACTGCTTACAACCAGTTACATAAACGTCCACATATAAGCGATTTAGTTGCATGCAAAAAGGTTGCTCAAATGAGCGCTCAAGTGCGGATCAGATATAAATCACACTCCTGCCCACGCTGTCATCAAAGAGGGCATGACTGTTACTGGAAATGTTTCTTGATATTGTTATATCCATGTTTTGTTTGCTTTTTAGCCTGTACTTCGGCACTGTTACTGTTGATTTGCTCTATGAGCATGAAATATCCAATGTGAGGTTTGCTCAACAGTCATCATGGTTGAAAAGGCTTGCAAAGCATGTCGAATATTGTTTGTGTTGGATTGAGCTTAAAGTTGTACCCTTTGACAGAGACAAAGATCCCCCCGTGTAGCCTTAACAGACTGATGGGGCAAGTGCTGTTAGCGATAGCACCTGCGAAGGCCGGGGGTGGGTTGCCAACACCAAGCCCGGCCGCCTTTGTCTCTCTAGCGGCTATGTTCACACACCACACCAAGGTGCTCAAAATTGAGGCTGAGTCGACCCAGGGGTGGCCCAGGACCGGTAAAGATGAAAAAAAAATCGTCACTGGGCTCGGAGAGCAGCGCTCTAACCGCTGCACCACCGCTCCCCACTGCATTGGCTCTGAGTCCCACCCACAGACATTTCTCCTCCCCATCTCTACCCCTCCTACCGGCTTTATATAAAGCTCAATAAGTTTATTTTGGAATATCGTTCCATACATTTCCTTAACCCTCTGCCTTTTCTTTTGCGTGTGAAACAAATCAACCACGACTACACAAGGCCAAAGATCTGCTCATCAATAAGGCTAAGCCTCAATGAATACGAGTGAAAAGGTCAGTGAAATGGTAAAAGCTACGCAAATCACTTTTAAAACGTGTCATTTTTTTATCACAAATATGATATTTTTTTCTGGCTATTCAATTTCTGCGTCATTCATGCTATTGCAATACACAACAATCCAAGTGTAGTATTTGTGAATTACTCTTTGGTTTTATTCGGTAAAGTCACGTAGATAAAATGAAAACAAAATAAAAGAAAACAATTAAATCACGACGTTACGGAGGCAACACAAGCTTCCGTCTTCAGGTGGAATAGTCAACGCAGAATATCTGTGACACAGTATGAATCCTTGCAGTCACAAAAGCTTCAAATCTAGAATTATTTGTGATTTGTTATCATATTCATAATTAGATATTTAGTTGTTGCACGAGGGGATTGTTCCATCTGAAATTATCTATAATTTTCTATGATAGTGTGATTATTGGCTTTCAGAATTTCCTTTGTGCTTTCTTTTTTGTGCGAGGAACGATACAGAGTAATTGTGAGATAGCAACAAATGGAAAACCATCCCCACTTTTAATGCTCAAGATTGTCACAGCAAACATAATTGTTGATATAACTTACACCATTGTGAAAGATAAAAAAGACCACAGATTTATTATATTGTTGATATCGTTTTGTATGTTTGCATTCCATTTGTTTACTGATGTAGAATATTTTACTTGATTCTCACTTTGCTTGCGTTTTCTCATTTTCCACACCACAGGTTTCCATTGACAAACTGCATTCCTAAGGGATTTGCATGTCGCTGACTAAAAATATCCATCGACAATAAGGGGGCTAATGTTCATTATTAGTTTAATGGTATCATTAAAATTGCAATTATTGTATCATAACCGTCATTGACTTATTCTTTAACTATTAGGGTATTTCAAATTACTTTAAACTATAACCCTTTGGTTGCATGAGAGATAGGACCCGTCACTGCTGCCACTCTCTCCCCATCAACACAGCACATCAGCCCCGTGAGTACCCTGACACACGACACGATCCCTTCACACCCTCCCCCCACCGTCCATCCTCTCGCCTCGTGGAGTGGCTCAACTCCAACCTTTGTTTCAGATCCTCCTTCTTCTCCCCCACTCTGATCCGTTCACTTGTACTTATCATCATCCTCACGGCCCCAGCCACAGCAGCTCCGAATGCACGTTTAAAGTCACGGGGTGGTCCATATGTCTTGTGCCCCGCATTTATTTCTCAAGGGTTATTTTAAACAGAAATTAATACGTAAACAAAGGAAAACATTACATTAGGGGACGCAAGACATCTGGACCACCCTGTAGATTGATAACTAATTTATTTTGAACTGCTCTTTGTGTTTAGTTTGTTCTCCTTCCTCCGATGAGCACGGTTGGCAATGTAGCGTGCGATTGCCGCTCTTGTTAGTCCTCTGTCATTTGTATTTTCCCTCTTAATTGTTTGTCTAACTCGTGCATTGTCGTGCATTGTGCCTATTTTGTATTTACTAACTCATGTGCGCTCTCTGTCTCATTCGCGCTGCCTCGTGGATGTTGTTTGCCTCATTGGCGACTGTGTCCTGTGGTGTCTGTCCTCGTTTGTGCACTGTCTTATGTTTAACTGCCCCAATTATTAATTCGACTTAGGGAGATTGATGCAGTCATAAACGCTCTCATCACAAACCAAGGCCTAACTGTAAAATATATATACGTATTAAGAAACACTACAACTTAATTTATTAAAATTGGAACAGCCACGCTGATTTTACCTGAACGATGCGTTGACGTGTGATATGTTAAGTGCCCGAGGCAAGGCGACAAATTGTATCTTCCCATGAATTGGTATAGATAAATAAATGCAGAAATAATGCCTGGGGGAAAAAAGAAAAACTTTAGCCATCTCAAATTAGCTGATGATATAGTTATCATAACGTTCAACAGAAAACGTGAATGCATAGAGCTTAGAAAAAAAGAATAAAATTGTATTATTTCCTTCATGTAAATCCACACTTACATTTCCATAGTTTATTTAAGGAGTTTAACACGTAGACTTTTAACTAAAGTACATTGATATACATTTGTCAACCTCCCTCTGATCAATTGTCTTTTCCTGTTGTGTTTTTAACCAGGTCGATCATGACTTTCATCAAAGCTCACAAGAAAACTGTGGAAAAGATAATGCAAATGTAACCATGTGAACTTCATTAACAGCAAGTTGCATCCATAAAACATATATTTAAGGACAATGTGCATTGCGGAATATATCAGCTCTGTGTATCTGTGAATTTAATTTGTTCTACGATTACTGAACTCAACACATCCATTCTGAAAGTGAAATGTCCGTTCGTTTCTTAGTGCAGTAATTACAGTTTGCAAGCAAACATGAATTTGACGGCCCCGACATCGGCGACAATATTGTGCGTGCAAATCTCCGTGAATATCATCATGCTACATCTCATCCTGCCCTTCACGACTGTCCTCGTGATCGTCCTTGTGGAGAAACAGGCGCTGCGTGAGAAGCCCCAGTTCATTTTCTTTACCTCTCTAATGATCAACGAAGTGATCGTTTACCTTGTGCGCATTATATTCATCGCCGTACAATTGGGCAACGTGCCGATTAGCAGCTCAGTGTGCAATGTGTACCAATCATTAGTTTCCGTTTACCTGGCAAATGATTTCTACAGCTTAGCGGCCATGTCCATTGACAGATGCATTGCGATTTGCTGGCCACTGAAGTATAACATGATACTGTCCCCCGTCAGAGTGCGTAACGCCGTGATCACCATCGCCTTGGTTTCCGCTTCGGTGCCATTTGCCCTGTTCCTCGCAGAGGAGATTTTGGAGAAGCACCACAACCCAAACATGCTCTGCACGGTGGACAATGTGACCCTCTTCAAAACGGGACAGATGCGCGTGTTGTACTCCGTTTTCCGCGTGTGCGCCTCCTCACTTGTGGTTGTGCTGAGCTACATTCTCATCTATCGGGAAGGACGTCGAGCGGGCGTGTTTAGCGTAGAGAATGAGACTGGCAGACGCTCCATTCTCTACCACGGACTGCAGCTGTCCTTGTTCATCCTGCCCACAATACTGCTGCAAGTCCTGGCTGCATTTGGGAGACGTATAGCAATTTCATTCCAAACGTATGAGGCTATTCTGATGACACACCTGGTCGTCTTTTCAGTTGCACAAGGCCTCGGCCTGGTCATCTACGGCCTCAAAATCACGCACCTCAGAAAGAACATGTGTCGAGTTTTGGGGATTAACCGAGCTGCTATTGGTGTTCATTCGTAGAGAAGCAGGACACGTATGTGGTTGTGTGAATTGAGGCAATTCATCTGTTTTCATTGCCTTGTGCTTTGACTAAAGTGGGCTACAGAGTCCGACACATCATTGAACACGATTTAGAATGTCGATTAGCAATGATCTGTGCCTCGATTTTTCACAGGACGTGAGTATATATGTTTAATATGGGTGGAAATTAAATGCATTGTCGCAATTCAAGGTAGCGATTCAATATGTATGGATATTCTTTTTACGTTGTGATGCAGGGTAGCAACCACGAGTGGCTTAAACAAGTGGTCATGCAGATACATTAGACAACAGATTGTACGTAAAAAAGCATGAACTCTTATCAATGACGCCTTGAATGGTGCTGTTTGGTGCTGGTCGCTTGGCATATCGTGCCTTTGAGCCTGTGCTCAAGAACCGTGATTTAAAAATACTAATTGAAAATCACTCATTGTTAATCACGTGACACGTTGCATCTATTGTGAGCTCAATAATCCCTAGTAATGAGTGAAGACATCGTCCCACCCATGCTAATGTGGTTAATTCTGACGTTATGAATTCGCGTAATTAATTGCTATGCTTCATGGTATGTGTTATGCATGTAACAGTTGAGCAATTAAGTTGTCTAGTTTTTGTGTGTAACACTCTGAACAATGTGCGTTTTGTTTAGATGCATTTTTAGTGGTCAATAGTAGATCAAACTTACCTTGGATAAAAAAAAAGCATCCAATGAATGCTTTTGGAAATCGGCCGATTGGAATGTACTTGTTATTCATATCATATGTGTATGATTATGTTGCAAATGTGACGTATTAAAGTTTTCGAATACGTATTTGTGACTGTTTAATTGCCTTCAAGCCGATGATTACACTGCGGTTCTCATCAAAATAATGAAGTCAATTGTGCATCACAGTCAGAAAATGAAAACGCGTGCATGCATCTGTGCCTGTCAAAGTGTGACCTAAACAATTGGCCAGGGAATTATTGTAGCAAATACCGGTGAACATCTGGCCACTTTAAGTAAATGTGGGCATGGATATTTGAGACAGGAGTAAAGAGAATAATCTGGGATTGTATCCCTGTTACTGAGAATGCACATTTTACAAAACCTATAATACAATGCAATCGTTAAATGACCCATACAAAAAATCGATGCAAACCATTCAAACAAACAAAATAGCTCAGCAGACAATACGCCACTTTCATAGATCTCTTTCCGCGTAAAAAAACAAACTACTTTTTAAAAAGGAATTTAATGGCGCCATGACCTTCTGGAAGTGCATAATTTCAGTAGCATTGATCCAATACAAACACTGGACCGGTTAGACATACAGTGTCTGATCAGCAGAGATAGGCTTGCCTGAATTCATTCTGGTGACATGGCAGATATAATAGGCTAGGACCCTTGCTTTGAAACAAATTTGCATCGAACTTTGAATCAATGTCTATGTGCTATCAAGCCAGCGACCTGAGTTCCATTCCTGACCATGGCTAATAAAACTGGGCAATTCTCACTATTCTTATCCTGAAATAATGGTTCCATTGCTGAATCGAATGCGGGTTTTTAACTAGATCGCACGGATCAGAGGAACCTTGGGGGTGGATACCAGACTGCATGGAGTCCAGTGCGGCACTCAGGGAAACATACAGTGCTCATATAGCATCGGCCAAGCATTTAAATGGCTGGAACGTAGCACGTTTAACTTCTTTCGCACCGTACGTAGTCAACCGTGCTCATCGGAGGTACGTGGGAAGGACAACAAACTTACCACAGTGCTAAAGAAATGATTGACACCTGCAGGGCAGGACTGATTGAGAACCGCCAGTACAACGTGAATTGGCTGATTACATTCGGTACCTTCTTCGCAGACGATTTCATTGCATTTTGCACAGCGGCGGTCATATAACTGACCCAAGAGGCATGGTCGGCCAAGACGATGATGTAAAGTCAACGCATGAAAAATATTTAAAACTCACAATCATTGTGGGCTGAGTGCTGTAGTGGCCACCACCCAACTGGGTACACGGTTTATTCTCATTGCACCCTTTCAGACGGTGATGGCAAAGTTTTTGGTTATCTGAAATGTGATGTGGCTGCCAATTACAGTTTTGCCACTTACACTGGTGGCAGTCCACTTTATTATTCACCATTTGGTGGAACCTTTTCACGGGTGGAGAGGCTGTCATCGCAACTGAAATTTAAAATATTTTTTTACAGGTGCGTAACAATGCCAGCAGTTAACTTGATGGCTTATAAAAGTACAAAAGGACCACGTGCATCGATGCACTACAATTTATTTCAAATTTATTCTAAAATGGCATGAAGTACTCCTACGTATATCTACTAGCAATGTTATTAAGCTGACTTTGTAGAGAACATGTGGAAAAAGGCAATGCCTGATAGGTGGTTATATTAGAATGGAATATAGAGTGTTAATAATATAACAAAATTTGGGTGAAATGTAAAATGACAAATGCTAACTTAGTGATTTAAATATTCTTGGTTCTTTTGGTAAAGTCACGTAGAAGGGAAAACGAAAGCTTTAAATCAAAATTTAGTGATTTAGATTATATGAAATGTATACTGTACACGTCTGGCTATTACTGATCCAGAAACGTACAAATTATAATTTAATGAAATTATAGATTATATACAAAGCTGTAATTTTTATTTCAACATTCTGTTTTAAAATGAACATCTTGTCTTCACGCATATTTCTATTAAAATTTAAGTTCTTTAGCTAAGAATATGAACGTTGATTGAGAAAAGGCACTTACGAATTTGGCTCGTCTTGCTCGGAAATAATTTAGGAGAAAATAGGAAGCCATTCCACAATGCACGATGGGAAGAAACCCTGGGAATAGCTGCATATATAAAATAAACGTTTGTCGTGGACCCTACGAGCGATGAGTATTATGGACACGGCTCAAGGGATTTATGCTGTCCTGTGTATTTCCGTTACATGACTTATCAAAGTATTGCAGCCAGAAGTTTCCAAACACACCGCAATAATGTTCAGATGCACATATGTTAGCATGCCATTTTAGGTACTTGTTAGTTTATGGCATGATTGACATTAAGGGTCTTCAAAATGAAGTTCATGTCTCAATGCAGTGACTCAGTTTCCAACTATTTTCACTTGGAGTTCATTAATTTTTTATGTCTCTATTGTGCTGTTTGTGCTTTAAACTTTCTGTGAGTGATTTATTTTTTGCAGCCAATGGTCCATAAGAAAGGAGCAAAATTCCGCGTTGGGATTTCTGGATCAGTAATAGCCAGACATGTACAGTATACATTTCATATAATATAAATAACTACATTTTGATTTAAAGCTTTCGTTTTCCCTTCTACGTGACTTTACCAAAAGAACCAAGAATATTTAAATCACTAAGTTAGCATTTGTCATTTTACATTTCACCCAAATTTTGTTATATTATTAACACTCTATATTCCATTCTAATATAACCACCTATCAGGCATTGCCTTTTTCCACATGTTCTCTACAAAGTCAGCTTAATAACATTGCTAGTGGTTATACGTAGGAGCACTTCATGCCATTTTAGAATAAATTTGAAATAAATTGTAGTGCATCGATGCACGTGGTCCAGACAGTCTCGTCCTCTTCACCTGATGAAGGCCGCTTGTGTTGTGGCCGAAACGTCGTGAGAATATTATTGTGTTATTTTATTTTATCAATTTATTATTTTATTCTCATTCTACGTGACTTTACCAAAAGCACCAAAGAACGCTGAATAATAATTTGTAGAAAACTAATTCGTGAATATAGCCAAAAGGGTAACTGAAAGGTTACTTTCTATGCTTTCCTTTGTGACCAATAGTTCAGCACTGCATGCACATTTATACATATATTCCTTACATTGAACAAAAAGTTTTAAATTCCACGTGGCCCTGCTCACCCATGTATAGAGTGAATACATAGCAATCAACTTGGCCAATTTCAACGTTCCTGTTAAAGTCAAATGTCTCTGAATAAACAACAATTTTTCGTTTACATCCAATACAGCACTGTGATTTGTGTTCATCATGTGTTCATCATGTGTTCATCATGTGTTCATCATGTGTTCAGCATGTGTTCATCATGTGTTCATCATGTGTTCATCATGTGTTCATCATGTGTTCATCGATACTGCAGTCATGCACTCGAACTGTTTACTGACAATTAATGCATTCACTGGCACAAACACTACTTCGAGTTGTAATGTGCGCGAGAATAGCATCCCGAAGACAAAATGCCTTTGTTTTGATAAGACACTCAGGACTCTCGTGAAAGTCCAATGATCCATTTGATTTTGGGGGAGGGGAATTTTGGGCAGAACCTATTATCCGGATGTATCTGTACACATTACTCCTATCATATCCTCCAATAAATGTACTTTATTATAAATGAGTTGGGGTTATTTAATAATTTAATAAACTATTGAAAAGAACAATAATCTATAAAATATGTTTTTAATTTACCAGGTAAGGCCCACTGAACTGTGTAGAGCTCTTTTTCCAGAAGCGACCTGGCCACAAATTATAAGCTCAACGAAGTGGCTTATCCTGTGAAAATTGATAGCAGCCAGATACTCTAAACGCATGTTTCTAAAGGTGGAGGGAAAACCGGAGATAAATCCACGCAACCACAGGGAGAACATGCAAACTACTAATTTACAGCAGGCGCCAGGATCGGGATCAAACCCACGACCTCCTGTATACCTGGTGACGTAGTTAACATCTCGCCACCGTGACATGTGAATACACCTGATCATTGAAGAGTTTGTTCGGTACTCAACAGTGGCTGTTAGGTAACGTCCGTTCATTCATAAGCCAATTTAAAACTGCCCATCAGAAAACACTTTTACATTGTAATTCTCATTCGGCCCCATGGTCTTCCAATCCTGATGAGCTCCAAATCTCTGGAATTTGTGTATTTGCTATGAAGGGCATTTGCCTGAAACATCGCCAATTATATATATTGTTTAATGAAGTGTTGTTGACGAGTGCGTTGAGTTTTTTTTGTGTGTCAATTGTGCCTGCACACCACTGCCAACGCAGTATCGCCAAATGGCAAATGCAGATAATAGAACAGATTTTCTCACCCTTCCAGGTTACTATTCTTATCCGTGATTCAGCATGAACAACAGGACGAATGACATGTTCCTGTATCCTGTTCAACAGCGGTCAGATTAACTGGACGATTTGATAACAGGGAGAATTTGTGGTGACTTCTGGATTGCTCTTCTTATCCAAGCAATACGGAGAGGGACACGCTTCAATTTAGAGCCACGGGTCTATGCAGGGCCACGTAACATATAAAGTGAGAGTAAGGAGGATAAATGAGAGAGGTCTGACAGTATTGCAGTAATAAGCAAGAACATATCGCATCTGGCATGACACTCGACTGAATTCTAGCATCAGTACTGTAAATGGTCAGCCATATACATTATTGTATATAAGATACTTTTCTTAGTTTATATTTTCACTTTTTTCTCTACTGTCCCATTCGTACAACTTTATTTTGCTCTATTAACCTGAACGTAAATTTCGCAAATAACATGCACAAATTCCAAATAATCAATTCTCTCGCGCACAATTTGACACGTGCTGTGAATGATCCAATGTAAGTGAATGGCTCCATACATCATTAAACGCCTACAAAATGACATCCGGGAGGTGAATAACGAGGCATAGATAATGATAAACTTGGAGTTACAGTGAGATACAGAGAGAGGACACGTGAATTGGAAAGACATGCGCACGCTAAGTCCGTGATAATGTTCGTAAAGTAAAGTAAGAGGGGTCAGCTGGACACATCACTAGAAGGGATGATAGCTGATGAGTCAAGACAAATGATGTGGGAACCTAGGAAGGGGGACACATCTGACAAGACAATGAGATTCACTCCTATGCGGCTGTTAGGTGGTCTTGTTGCATCACAGCATCGTGAGAGATGATGACAGCTTGGGGTTGACTTCGTACAGCAGTCGAATTGCCAAGGCTGATGGTGATTATAACAGGTGCACATCATCCATTGCATACAATGAGTATATAGTCTATGCGTTAAGTTTCATGTTGCTCATAATATAGGTTTGTTTGGGTAAATATGTGTTGTTAAAACCCACCACCACCCGACACAGTCAGTTAGTAAGGTTTGTAACGTAAAAGAGAACGTGCCAATTCGTTACTTGTACAGCACACCGGGATGTTGGAGAGTAAATCCAAATCTGACTGCGATTGTAAATGTTGTGGATTTACTCTGGAACACACTGGTGCAGTGTCAACGATTCAGAGACATAGTTTACAAGATGCCTTCTTTATTAACAACTTCCACGGTTTTGTACAGACACTCTCCACTAACTGGCTGTGCCAGGGTGGTGGCGGGGGTATCGACACATATATTTACGCGATCTAACCCGAAAAACTATATCATGGATGATATTGGTAGCGAAAGCCTACGTGTTAAACTTTTATGTTGCTCTTTGCATACTATGCATGTTCAACATGTTCAAATATAATTGCATGGCTTTTATGTAAAAATTTAAGCTGAGGATATGACTTTAAAATATAAAAAAATAGGAAATTACGGACACTTGTATCAGTTCTGGTGTAATACACCCTTCCAAGTTGTAGGTGTTACAGTTAATTGGAAACAGAAATTATGATGAATCAGTTAATTTCAAAATTGTATACATTGCTTTACAAAAACTGACTAATCTTTGATGGTAATTCAACTCTCTAATTATTCACAAATAAATGTCACCTAACAATTTGGTGGTGTAGTGTACCCAGCTAAAGCATATTAATTTAATTGAGTGTAAAAGTAATTAAATTAGTAAAATGTGCGCACGAGCAACAACAAAAACATTAGCCAACAACATTGCCCGAGAGGAAAATCATATCACGTGATAGACGATGTTGCTTGCAAGAAAGAAGGTTTTCTGCCCAAAACGTTGCCTGTTTATATTTTATTCTCTATGGGACAGTGTTATTGACAAGTGTTAACGTTTATCTATTTAACCAGATGATAACTCCAGGATAGTCTCCTTTGCAAAAGTGACCTGGTTTACTAAAATGTCGATAGCACAACAAATAAAATTATGTACAGCAATGAAGCAAATATGAATCAAATCAACAACATCTGTGTCACATGAGAAATCGAAAATAGTGCACAACCATAACTCAATCTTAAACAATACATTGATTATGCAGGATGGTCCTGATGTTTAGTGACCCCCAATTAAGTGACCACTTTTTTCATTTGCATATTAATTTTTTTTTAGATAAACAATATATATAAAAACGTAGTTTTAGATAATTTAATGGGGGGTGGGGGAGGGTCTTAAGACATCTGGACCACCCTGGGGTTACAACAAAATGAAGTGAAAGAAACGTTAAACATTTTTCGCGAACATTTTTCGAATCTGCAAAGAGAGAATATTTGTCAAATGCGGTTGACTTTACATTTACAACGCATCGTACAGACGCGCGCTACACCAAAACAAGTAAAATAGCAACCGTGTAATGACATGCATTTTAGGGGGAAATACGATCAGCAGGGCCGTCCACAGTGGGGGTGATTGGTGTCAGGGCCTGGGGCAACTCACACCGCGTGGGCCCCCACCATCCACGACAGCCTTCAAACTAAATGTCACTTGTACATCTGACACCGTGACATCGAAGCGTGGGGCCTCCACAAAGCGCCTCCCCCCGATTCGTCGTATGCTTGTATGTTTATATGCATGTTGAACTCTCGCACTGTACTTAGCCAACCGTGATAATCGAAGGTGCGCTGATAGAGCTCGGTACCGTAGGGACGGCTCTGTCGGCGAGAAGCTACCAAGGCCAACGCATCACGCAAAGGAGTCGTGTGGCCAGGGCCACGTGCCATATTCCTCTCCCCAGGGAAAATATTCAAACATTGCACCCAGGTTCTCATTCGACACCGAGCTGATGTATGCATTTATTTTTACTTATTTCGCACCGTACGTAGCCGACCGTGCTAATCGGATGTATAGCCAACCAGGAATGGCTTCAGATGCCACGCGTGACAAATATTAATATCTTCGGTTGGGAACCTAACCCACGTCACTTGGACTGAATTGTTCTGCATGAATAACGACATCACCACTACCTACGAAACATACACGACTCCAACTACCATGAGCAACAAAGTGACGTTGACATAAAACACACCGCCTGTATCAGGCCAGGAGCACTTTGAAGCAATGTGAAGTCTTGAAAGCTCACTGGTAGCAGATAGGTCGTGGAACAGACGCAGGTGCTATGGGATAACTTACCCAGATGACTGGCATACTCTTTACCTGCGCTCCCCCACTGGACCAAGTCCATTATTTATGCTCCCGTGACTTCCTTTGCTCATGGAGGGCAGCTTCCACCAAATTGCCCGGTAACCAAAATCAGTATATTTATTCATACAGGAGGAATCCAATGAGCTACAAAGCTCTTTTTCACCGATGTCCAGTAGATGTATTGCACGAGGCACCTCCTTACACCAATGGTGCTCTTTTTTGTTGATTGAGTTTTTGATTCATCTGGGCAAAATTTACCAAGGACATCGCCCACCTTTCGCCCATGCAACCACAGAGCACAGACGACATAACTCGTGGCCGGTGAAGCCATCTCGTCCGTTTGTACCGCATCAGTCCATCAGCAGTGGCTGCGTTTGCGGGACTTCGTGATCCGGCCCTCCAGGCCACATCATCCAAGCCCCACACATCGTCACCTGATGGAGGAGCTCAGCGATGGGATAACCACACACACACACAAAACAAAGATCCCCCGTATAGTCTGTAACAGTCTGTTGGGGCAAGTGCTGTTGGCGAGCACCTATGAAGGCCGGCACGGCACACGAGGGGGTGGGTGGCCAACCTCACGCTCGACCGCCTTTGTCTCCCCAGTGGCGATTTTACACATCGCACCGGATACTCATTTGAGGCTGAGTCGACCTAGGGGAGGCCCACGACCTGTTAAGATAACCGTCACCGGTATTGGTCGAACCCGGTTCATCAGGTTCGTAGCGCAGCGCGCTAACCACTACACACACACACACACACGCGTGCACACAAACACGTGCAACGCGCATTGCTCGATACGAAAGAGAGGCACGTAATTCTCTTTCCAGACAACGGCCCATAGCATCCTTTTCGTGATCAAAGACCAGAATGTGTAATCCACCTGTTTAATTGTGTTGGGTAGGAGGAGGTGGGTGGGAAGGAGACGGGGGTAATGGGTGTTGGTGGGATATGGGTGGGGCGGGGCGCGAACAAAATCAATTCAAGCTCGTCTCCGCTTCATCCCGCGTGCCGCCGCTGCTGCAGCTGAAGCGCTTCGCGTCGATCTTGCCCACGACCTCCACGCAGGCTGCAGCGGCGGCGGCGGCGGCGGTGGTGGCGGCGGCGGTGGTGGTGGCGGAGCGGCCCCGTGCGGCCTCCCCCGTGACCCAGGGCCCGTCTCGCGCAGCGAAGCGCCGCAGATCGCGCGGGGCCCGCCGGCGACACATCACCTCCCTGAACATGTCGCGGAAGCGTGTGGACAGCAGGTTGTAGATGACGGGGTTCACCACCGAGCTGAGGTAGAAGAAGACGCCCGAGACGAGGTGGACGCACTGGAACATGCCGTGGCTGTCCGCTGTCCACCGGTGGACGAAGCTCCACACCAGACGGTCGGTGTGGAAAGGCGCCCAGCAGATGCCGAACACGATCACCAAGACGTCTGGGGGGGGGGGGGAGGAGGGGGGGGATGAACATCGGTGCCACATAGGAATGTAGTTAAACGCGTGGTGTGTTAAAATGATGATTATCATAACTATCGATAAACCTGAAAAGTCTTGCCCGATTCTCAAGGCCCTCTTTCGGGAGGGTCCTGCCAAGTTTTCGAAGACGTTGGGGGCGGTGCTGCTGCTGTTGCTGTTGCTTGAGATCCCACGTGGGATGCTACTATACTACTTTACTGCTTTTATTCTACCAGGTAAGGCCCACTGAGCTACATGGCTCTTTTTCAGAAGCGACCTGGCTATCACAAATGATAGTCTAATGAAGTGGCTCCTAATGCAGCCAAATACAAAGGGCTTAGAACAAATGTTAACACTTAAATGGGAATATCGTTTTTAATGGAAAAATAACGGATAATACACTGTAACATGATATAACAAATGTATGTTGATAGCTTCAAAAAGTCAGTCTCCACTAGTTGGCCATCATTATCATAGTGTTACCGTTTTTTTTTTAAAGCACCCTGTACTTTAAACGCATTTTTAACAATCATTGGGCGCGTAAATTGGTGAAAGCCGAAAGACGCAATAGTGTGTTGGGACACGAGGACTAGTGTTTGGGAAACCCTGGGTTAAAGCAAAAGGAAATGCACAGCCGAGGATATTCCATTATACAGTGCTTGGCAGGCAACTCTTTCTTAATCATACACTGCTAGGGTTCAATTAGAGGCAGCTTTTACAAACGCTGGGAAGGTCTTCTTGATGGACAGTCTGCACACACATAGAATGGCCTATACAAAATTATATATATAGAGTACGATCGTACACAACACTTACAGTGATTGATTTATGGATACATACTTACGTATATAATGAGTCAAAGGAGCTGCAGTGATTATGCTCATTTCCTCTTTGTGACCTTGAGCCAATAGTGCATATTCTACATTCCCATGGCGAGGCAAGTTTATCCACTGTTGGCTATGCACGGTGCGAAAGAAGTTCAGCTTCCCCACAAAGTGATACTCCAAATGTTTCTACTCCAGAGAGATGATGGGCTGATCCTAACCCAAAATGAGGATTTGAAATCGCAACACTTTCCACGGGTCACAGCGCCACCTGTCCAGATCATTGGATTACAGTTTCCAAATAACAGTGTAATATGTGTCTATTCAACCAATATCGCAAGTGCGTATCAATTAACGGATGCTAACCATGAAATGGTCCGCATGCATCTCATACGCCATACACATGAAGTACAATCGTGCGTGCATTACTCACACAGCATCTTCGTGACTTGCCGGCACTTGGACCTGTTCGTCCGAATCCTCTGGTTTCCGAACGTGCCGCGTCCCTCGCACTCGTGGGGCACAGCCAGGCTCTTCTCCCGGCGCAGCTGCCTGCCGATGAGCAGGTAGAGCACGCTGATGGTGGCCATGGGCACGAGGAAGAAGAGCAGCGCGGTGAGCTGCACCACGACGTTGTAGATCCAGCGCGGCTGCGTGACGATGCAGATGGTGGACTCCTCATAGGGCTCGCCCAGGGGAGACCGGAGGTAGTGGATGCCGTGCAGGCTCGTGTTGGGCACGGAGCAGCAGACGGAGGCGACCCAGAGGCACGCGATCACTCGCCTGGCATGCGTCCTGGTGACCAGCCACCTGGCCTTGAGCGGGTGGACCACGGCGATGTAGCGCTCGACGCTCAGCGCCGTCACGTTGAGGACGGAGGCGAAGCAGACGGTCTCGAAGAGCATCGTCTTGAAGTAGCAGCCGCCCTCGCCAAACAGTGACGGGTAGTTCTCCCACATTTCGTACAACTCCAGGGGCATGCCCAGCACGAGCACAAGCAGGTCCGACACGGCCAAGCTGAAGAGGTAGAAGTTTGTGGGCGTGCGCATGAGTCTGTGACGCGAGATGACGATGCACGTCAAGAAGTTTCCCACGACTCCCGTCACGAAGATGAGCAGGTAGATGGCTAGGACGGGAACAAAGAATGGCGACGTCCGTGGTCCCAGCAGCTCGGTGATGACTTGACCCCTGGTCATGTAGAACTCCACTGGCAGACTGTAGTTCGACGTTTCGTTGTCGTCCGATGAGTTGCAGAGGTCCTTATAGAGCATGCGGTAACTTGGGTCAGGGCTAAGAGTCAATATTTGAAGCTCTGAACAATTTCGGTTTAACATTTCTTCAAAGATCGTCCTTTCCATGTCTGGTTTGTACATTACGGCGCATATATAGCATGCAAGTACAATCTACAACTAATTTTGTCGAACCTAGATTTAGAGTATTGATATCTTCAGTGTCGGTAAAAGGGTACAAATTTCATGGAATGAAGAGAACACTTTACAGCCAGCATGCCCTTGATGATTATTAATAAATAAATATCTGCTACTATTTCATGAAAGCGAAATATTGATTATTGTAATACATCTTATCAGCATCATTTTTTAGAAAATGTTCCTTCGTTGGCTGGAAAATCTGGCATGAAACAAGACACAGCATGTGTCCTCATTTGGAAACATATAACCAGTGTGCTATTTGACTAAATTATGCTTGGAAAATCCCCCAATTTGAATCTGGGGATGAACCAAGTTTAACTTATAAATATGGTAATATACCTTTTGATTCAACCAAACACTGACAGCTCCATGCTGTAAATAAGATTCGTGTCATTACTGGTTGAGAAAATGATTTGCATAACTAGGCAAATTATTCCTTGTTAGCAAGCATGTGTATTCTACATGACATCACAGTTTATGAATCGAATTTGATCAATACAATCTCAGGGGAAATACAATTCATATTAGTTTACATTTAAGTAAAGCAGACGGTTCTTGTATATATGCACATAAAAATACTGTCGACATATGAAACTGTTTACAACATAAACAATAAAATGATGCTGACTATATGCATAAAAGCAAACAAGGCGCGCTCTAGCAACTACTCAAAACAACTAAACCTTCACTCAATAAACCGTATTTTTATAGACCCACAGTGCAGTTTCATAACAAATATTTTTACAAAAAATATAGCCAAAGCATTTAAACCACGTAATATAAAAGTAACAATTCACCATGTACCTGACATCAGGAATACGCAGCACGCCACGATACTAAGATTTTAAATATCCACGGGGGGAAAGATCTTTCGACCGTCTCCCCAAATCTTGTCCGAGCGTCAACAACAACAACAAGAGCTATCGAATTTCGTGAGCTCCCATCAATTGCGCAAGCCTTGTAAAGGCAGGACACCCCACTTGCTCTCCGTGATATATAGCGGTGAAGCATCACGTGATCACGCCAATTCGTTTACCGCATTTCACACAAAAAAATCAGGCAGGCAGGTTTAGCGGCGAGTTTGCTTACTCCTCTACTGTGGTTGAGTGGCTGTTGTTGCCTCAAAATCTATTCGGGCAAGGGTCATTCAACCAACATACGGTGAATATCTCATTACAATAATCTGCTTTCAAAAGGAGACACCTTGTGACTTTTAAAAAAAGCCCAAGCATCTCAGAAGCCTCACACTATATGTAACGGTGTTTTATTGGCACGACGTATGAGCCTTTGTAGTAATCACTGACCAAAGAATTATAAGAATTCCTTAATTACCCAGGCAGTCACACTTAGTCCAAGCAGTATTTTAGGAGGGTCCAGCGTTGCATATATTATATAAAGATGTTTTCAGCCAATTAGTGAATGTGAATATATATGTGGAAAGAAACTGGAGCACGTGGAGAAAACCCACACAGATGAGGGTGCAGCACTCTATCCCATACAGATGGGACAGATGATATTCGTCCACACTTCGTGTAACCGCCTTCTCCTGGTGAGCCATGGTATGGCTTCTTGACGCCCAATGAGAAGCGAGTTCCCCAACATTTGTGTGATCCACCAACCCTTGCCTCCATAGGGGCGAATTACAGCCATGTATCATCACTGCCCGAATGTAAATTAATAAAATGTATATAATACTATGTTTACGTATGCATTCATCCATACAGTCTCAGCCAACCCAATTATATCACCACTTACGTTAAAACATGTCACTGTTGAACTGCCAAACAGCTTTGTGTAATTAACGTGGCTAGATATTGTGTATTCGTGAGTGTATTAATTAAGTGATTATTCCTCAGATAATTACAATCAGCATACTTAAATTAGCATTGTGCCACATGTCTGTCTGGAGAAATAATTTCAGTGTGATGTATCTGTTGTTAATGTCACCTGGACCTTTTAGATAGGAACATTTAATATGCCACAGTATATCTACACATTTAAATTTTTACATTTTATACAATCATAGTGGCATGAGTGCAGGTAATTATTTAACATCTAACAAATCTATTGCCTTTCTTGGTCAAAATAAAGATGCTTGGATTTGATGCCCTGGAGCTTCACACTGGTGGCTCTGTTTGAAAACACAAACTCGTCTTACGTTTTACACCTCAGAGGCCATCATTATTTACATACCATTGTCTGGATCACATTTTATAATTACTAATTTGATGGAGCATACATTTTGACTTAAAACTTTCGTGACTGCAGGAATTCATATTCTTTGGTTATTTCGGTAAAGTCGCCGAGCATGTGAAGGACACATATATAAAACTATGTATTAGGGAAGTTCTTGAGTTTCAGATTAATCGAAAAAAATCTTTCAATCGAGCCTAGATATTACATTTCGGAAAATCGGAAATTAGTTTCCCCTTCGGATTGTTCTAAAAATGTGACGACAGAGGGCGTGGCGTCATTCCCGTGCCAGCAGTTCCCTGCTCTTTGCACACAGAGTTGTGCGACGAGACCACATGAGCAAAATTTGCTTCCGTAAGGTTTCTCTGCATGTAACTCGATTCATGACGACCAGACACAGCTTCATTTATGGCCATGTCTCACCAGTGTTAGGCCAATCAAAACATATTATTATTATTTTGATGTTCTACCATAAGCATGTGTGGTCATTGTGTGGCTAATGTGTGGTTAATGTGTGGCTAATGCAAGCTTGTTGCCTTGCAATAGGTGTGTCTATTTGGTGTTTGAACATCTTAACACCTGTGTTACTGTTGGAAAGGGTAAAGCCTATTCTTTTTTCATCATCTTGACACTGGCAAAGATGGTGCCATAGATACAACTATATTCATGCTATCAATCATATGTTGTATTAGACTGATGAATATTGATTATGATTGTGGCTAGCGCTATTCACAGCAGCCTAAAAACATTTTTTTCAGAAAATTGGATTGGAGAAACATTGCCCTGAAAATAAATGGAGAAAATATTAAGCATCTAAAATTAAATGATTGATATAGTCATTTAACAACAAATGGAAATGGGTGACGATAAATAATACTGCAATTCAATGAAGGAGGCTGGAAAGTGAACCTCAAGATAGAAATGAGAAAAAAAAAACAATATATGAGGCATTATGGGAAAAATATAATAAAAAGGACAAGAGGCATTGGAAGGGAAGCGTAGTGATTCGGTAAGAACATGCATCTCTGCACATTTATTGTAAAACACAATGCTGCATGCATGTCATGCACATGTCCGTTTTTTCCCCGTAGAAATACAAAAAAAAATGCACGAATGATTGTGCATTCAAGACAAATGACATCTAAATACGGATCATTTCAGCCGAAACCTTAATCAGTGCAAAGTTTGAGCATATTTGTGCCCACATCAAGAGGACAAAAAGTGGTTTTATATGCAATCAAGAGAGCTAGTTTTGTACAATCTACTTTTATTTTATGCAGAAATGTTATCAACGTCAGATTTCTTGACTGTGTCCTTCACGAGATAATTTAGTGTTTTATGGGTATTTTATATGTATTTTGTAACCACTGCACAGTATATGCATTTCACAATGGTATTAAAAAATATGTATCTTCACAGTTGTATGCATACCGTGTGTAATTCATTCTGAGCATCTTTTTTGCTGTCCTCTTTTCCATGGCGAAATCAGCAGCAAATTACGATATGATTGAGATTGCTGCACCTCCTGGCGTTAGAAAACGGTTCCCCGTGCATTGCATCATATAACTACTTCTGAACTTATATTCTTGGTTCTTTCGGTAAAGTCATGTAGAAGGGAAACAATAAAATAATAAAAAGATACAACGATAAAATTCTCACAACGTTTCGACTGCAACACAAGCAATCATCATCAGGTGTGAAAACCACAACAAGAAATTTTGAAAAAAGTGGCGTTTTTTTTTTACGTTAGCACCACGGAGAGCGATTTGACAGTTTGTTCAGATGGACGAGTCCATCTATGTTCGGAAAAGAGGAGGGGGGAGACAAAAATAATGGATGCGGTCTGAAAGCCACCATAAGCGTGAACAATAAATTAAGACCCGAAATGGTCTATCACATCCTTCCAATGATTGCTAAGCCAGAATCCATCTTCTCGGTTGAAATTGTCTCTGTGTTTGTATTGTGGATAGCCTCATGAATGAATCTCTCATGGTAGCCAGATGGCTTGCAAAGAACCTCTGTCTTGGAGAAGTCAATGTCATGTGAGCCTACTGAATTATAACAGTGATCTGCCACGGCCGAGGTGTTGGTCCTACCGTGTTTTAGGTCTGCTTTGTGTTCACGAATGCGGTCCGAGACATGTCGTTTGGTTTCTCCAAAGTAACTACTACCACAGAGGCAACTTAGTTTGTAGACGCCAGGGTACTGTATGTCCAGAATCACATCTTTTACAGACGGAACCAGATCACGGATTTTATGTAATGTTTTGAATCGGACCTGGATCTTGTGTTTATTCAAGATTTTGGAGATATTTTTTGTGATCCCCGCAATGTAGGGTAAAGTGATGGTTTTGAAAGACTCCTCAAGAGGGTCCTTCTTCATGGTTGGTGTGACAGCTTTGCGGATTGTGTAGTCGGAGTAACCATTAGCCGTAAGAGCTCGGTGTACGTGCTTGAGTTCACTGGCTATGTGTTCCTGGTCAGATATGCATTGGGCTCTATGGTGCAGAGTCTTGATGAGGGAATTCTTCTGGGATGGATGGTGGTGGGAATCCGGTTTCGGGTAAGCATCCGTATGGGTAGCTTTCCTGTAGACAGTGTGGCTCATTGAACCATCAGGTCTCTTTTTATTAGGACATCCAAAAAAGTAACTTGCCTCTTTTTCGACTTCCATGGTAAATCGAAGAATTGGTCTAGAGCAGGCCGGCCATGTGGCCAGATGACAAAAGTGTCATCCACGTACCTCTTCCATAAGGTTGGGTGCAGAGTGGCAGTCTGGATGGCGTCAGTCTCAAATTTCTCCATGAAAATGTTGGCTACAACCGGAGATATGAGGGAGCCCATTGGGGTGCCCTCATTTGTTTGTAGGAAGTTCCATTCCAAGTGAAGTATGTATTGGTTAAGCAGTGTCTCACCAGGGGGGGTACCTCATTGTTTAGTCCTTGATGAACCAAGTCTTCAATGATTGCGATGGTGTCAGGTACAGGAACTTTGGTGAATAAGGAAACTACATCGAAACTGACAAGCTGGTCGTCTGGGGACAGGGAAATACCCGTGATCGTCGATACCAGGTGAGAAGAAATTTGTACCGCAGAGGTGGTTTTTCCAGTGAAAGGCCGCAGGATTTCAGACAGAAAACGAGCCAGTTTGTAGGTGGGGGAGTTGATAGTAGAGACGATGGGACGAAGGGTGTATCTACGTAATGTATTTTTGGTAAGCCGTATAATCTTGGTGGCCTGGCAGCAGAAGGTTTCAACGAGAACTGTTTGGTTTGATCAATTAATGCGTTTGAATCAGAAATTATTTTGTTGGTTTGTATGACGACGAGGCTGTTGGTGGGATCTCTTTTTATTTTTATATAGCTGCTATCGTTGAGCAATTCTTGAATTTTGTTGTTATATTCTATTTTATCCATGATGAGAGTGGCATTGCCCTTGTCGGCTGAGAGGATGACAATGTAATCTCTCTTTTTTAATTTATATAATTCAAAACACTCATCTTTGCTGAGGTTGCTAGCTGGCATCTTAGCGTTTTGAGGGTTGCAGCGATTTCAGATCTTGCTACGTCTGCAGCCATAACTGCCAAATCGCTCTCCGTGGTGCTAGCGTTAAAAAAACGCCACTTTTTTCAAATTTTTTTGCTGTGGTTTTCACACCTGATGATGATTGCTTGTGTTGCAGTCGAAACATCGTGAGAACTTTATTGTTTTATATTTTTTTCATTTTATTGCTTCCCTTCTACGTGACTTTACCGAAAGAACCAAGAATATGAATCGCTGCAGTCACGAAAGCTTTAAGTCAAAATTTTACTTCTGAACTTCATTCTCCAGGCCTTGATTCACACCAGCAACACCGTTCAAACAGCACTCGTCAAATGTCAATCGAAAATGCTTCAACCTCGGAGCTGAAGCAGGCTAAGGGGCCATCCATAAATGACGTCACGCGATTTTGGACGATTTTTGACCCCCCCCCCCTCGTCACACGGCGTCACAAAAAGTCAGACCCCCCCCCCTCAAATACGACGTCACAAAGCTCTGCCCCCCCCCCAAATATATAAAACATGCTTCAAATCGCTTTTAACTATTGTCATTGTAATGCGTATTTAATTTGGTGCTGCACTCTGATGTTTTAAGAGAAAACATTTATTAAAAAGTCTATTTTATTAAGTAGATCGTGTTGTCTATATTTATTTAAAGTTGCGCATTTTTACGTGACGTCACATTTCTCCAACCCCCCGCACCCCCCTCGTCACACATCGTCACAAATGTCTGACCCCCCGCCCCCTAGGTGCGTGACGTCATTTATGGATGGTCCCTAAGGTGAGTGACAAATCACATGCAATATGACGTGTTGGTCTGTTGGTTGTGCAGTCATCGCCAAGATCAAAATCTAATGCCATGTTAGAATCCAGCTTACTAAAAGATGACGGCAAGGATTTGATCATCGTATATTTTGCAGTGGCGGCTTAGCCCTCTCTTGGTTTAGCCCGAAGATCCAACAATACAGCTTAGAAATAATTCCTGTCACCTAGATAGTTACACAGAGTCAGGAATTGTTTACATATGCGACGAAGCAAAGATGTGTTGTTATACATATAAATCACGGAAAGCAATAATTATATGAAGGCCACCAGATACCACCTCGCAACCTAATTTGGTACACGTGTGAAATTTGCCATTAGAAAACCTATATAAATCCAAATGAGCGATTCAAATATGCATTGCAGTAAAAACATCAATGCTGATGTGACTGATGTTAGATTATAGATGGAATATGCCACTCCTCAACAGCTGCTAAACAAACAAAAAAAACACTGCCTTCCACTCGCAATCATTGGATTTGCAATACTATGGTGTGCACTAAAATAAATGGCACGTGATGTACATGAGACATACGGTAATACATGTAAGTACTTTAAACATATGAAAGATTAGCATTTCCCTTTGTATTACAGATGTATTATTATATTTAGGTTGACATGAATGAAAAAGTCGAAGTTACATTCATTTGATATCTTGAAAGGCAGTATAACATTTTACGTATTATATAGCAGTCTGTTAAAGGTAACTACAGCGAGGGAAAAACGTATTTAATCCCCTGCTGATTTTGTACGTTTGCCCACTGACAAAGAAATGATCAGTCTATAATTTTAATGGTAGGCTTATTTGAAAAGTGAGAGCCAATGACAACAAAAAAATCCAGAAAAACACATTTTAAAAATGTTATAAATTAATTTGCATTTTAATGAGGGAAATAAGTATTTGACCCCCTTTCAATCAGAAAGATTTCTGGCTCCTAGGTGTCTTTTATACAGGTAACGAGCTGAGATTAGGAGCACACCCGAGACAGCTTTTCTTAGAGCCTCCATTGGTGTTGGACCAGAAGAACGCCTTTTGGCGTCAATCAAATTCAAGGACAGTGCATATTATTATCAGAGTTGTCTTTTTTGTTTGCATTTTGACTGCTTGTGTTGTGGTTATTGCAAACATGATGCCTTGAATAAAGGTGTCAGTTTTTGTGCCAGTTAAAAGGGTAAAACCTATTCCTATAAGGTGACAACAGTTGGTGCGGTTATTCGCAAATGGAATAAACACAACAGAACTGTCAATCTCCCTCAGCCTGGGGCTCCGTGCAAGATCTCACCTCGTGGAGTTGCAATGATCATGAGAACGGTGAGGAATCAGCCCAGAACTACACGGGAGGATCTTGTCAATGATCTCAAGGCAGCTGGGACCATAGTCACCAAGAAAACAATTGGTAACACACTACGCCGTGAAGGACTGAAATCCTGCAGCGCCCGCAAGGTCCCCCCGCTCAAGAAAGCACATACATGACCGTCTCAAGTTTGCCAATGAACATCTGAATGATTCAGAAGACAACTGGGTGAAAGTGGTGTGGTCAGATGAGACTAAAATGGAGCTCTTTGGCATCAACTCAACTCGCCGTGTTTGGAGGAGGAGGAATGCTGCCTATGACCCCAAGAACACTATCCCCACCGTCAAACATGGAGGTGTAAACATTATGCTTTTGGGGTGATTTTCTGCTAACGGGACAGGACACCTTTACCGCATCAAAGGGAAGATGGACGGGGCCATGTTCCGTCACATCTTGGGTGAAAACCTCCTTCCCTCAGCCAGGGCATTGAAAATGGGTCGTGGATGGGTATTCCAGCATGACAATGACCCAAAACACACGGCCAAGGCAACAAAGGAGTGGCTCAAGAAGAAGCACATTAAGGTCCTGGAGTGGCCTAGCCAGTCTCCAGACCTTAATCCCATAGAAAATCTGTGGAGGGAGCTGAAGGTTCGAGTTGCCAAACGTCAGCCTCGAAACCTTAATGACTTGGAGAAGATCTGCAAAGAGGAGTGGGACAAAATCCCTCCTGAGATGTGTGCAAACCTGGTGGCCAACTATAAGAAACGTATGACCTCTGTGATTGCCAACAAGGGTTTTGCCACCAAGTACTAAGTCATGTTTTACAGAGGGGTCAAATGCTTATTTCCCTCATTAAAATGCAAATCAATTTATAACATTTTTGACATGCGTTTTTCTGGATTTTATTGTTGTTATTCTGTCTCTCACTGTTCAAATAAACCTACCATTAAAATTATAGACTGATCATTTCTTTGTCAGTGAGCAAACGTACAAAATCAGCAGGGGATCAAATACTTTTTTCCCTCACTGTACATCTGAGATTACTTCAAATGACCTCTTATGCACACCACGTGTGCTGAACTATGCCACCACGTGGCCATGCTGTAGCAATGTACATTGCAAGGCACAGCTGCGATTGTGCCAAAGTATCTTTTGAAAATAAAACATTAACGTGATGAGGAAGGGTGGTTTTTTTGTGTGCAGTTGTTGTTGAATGAGTCTGAAGTCGCAATATTCACAGCAAAGTCTTCCCAATGAATTTCATTAACAAGGTATACAAATGCCAACTATAATGTCCCATCATACACAGAACATTTCTTCTCTTTTATTCAGGTATAAAATAGAAGAAATGCTTAGTTTTCCTATTTGTATTTTAATTTGTTTCTTTCAAAAAAAGTCAAAGCTAATAAACACTCCCTACACCAAGAACACAATTTCATCCATGGAGAAAAATATGCCTTATTGCAGAATGCCGATCGGACAGCGGGATTGAAGATCATTAACAACGGAACAATGTACTACGCATATATGGCACAATACAATATCAAGTACATAAATATATTTGTGAAATTAACAAAATATACAAGAACATCAATTCCACCTCATTGTGTTACAGCCATCCATCACTCCATAGGAGTTGCACTACTATTCCAGCACCATTTGGGATCTTTGGAAATGCAAATGCCTTGAGGACACTTGAGAGTTCACTAGAGAATTAGAGATATGTTAAGAAAGTGTCCCTTTCGTTACTATGACATTGTAATTTCATCATCCTCTCCCGTACAAGACAACACCGTCTTTACAGTAAATTCCAAGCACGATTTAAAAAGCAGAGTAATGCCTCGAGATCTTGTTGAAAAAGATCAATTTATAATAAACAATTCCCCTCCAGCTATTCTGTGTTTTCATATGGAACGGCATTAATTAAACGGGTTTTGTCAGTTGCGCAATTGTGTTACTAATACACGGCCAAAGACAATGCATTGAGATGTAGCCCTCCCCTCTCCTGGTGTGGTGCGATATTCCTATTCATTGAATGAGTGTGTAATGGCCCTTTGTCCCTCAGAAGGTGGGCACCCTGTTTAGAAGTGGTCTCATGGAAGTGCTGCATTAATCCTATTATCTGGGATTTTTTTAGATAAGAGTAGTGACCCAGAAATATCTCAACAAATGGATCTTATTGTCTGCATTTACCTGAGGTCACCCACACATATATCAATAGTTTATTGCTTTCAATATGTACCCGCATTAAGATCCATCCATAGTGGACCCCAATTTATACATGTATAGGAGGAGTTTCAATTAATTTAAAACTACATCAGTAATGAGTGAGCTAAATAAACCAGGAATGCCATTGCGCACGTATACGAATACACGAAACTTCTAACATGTAAGGGTTTTCCTGTGCTGTACATATATTGTTCACGCCATTGCAGGCAGGTGGACTGTGTATTTAATGTACAGCATTAACAGTGTGTGTGCGTGTATATGCACGCAAACATGTGCCCACAATAGCAGGCAGCACAGCCATCAACAGTGATAATTCCGTATCATTGCATGTGTGCAAATACCTGCACGTTGCAATTAGAACACACATGCCACTATAGAAACGTACTCTCTAACTCATATGCAATTGGCCATAAACAGCCAGTGTTCACGTGAATATACGTTTGTAATGCTTCTGAAAAAAATAAGAGTTGCAGACACTTAAAAAAAAGTTAAATATACGTAGTGTTTTGTTTGTGTGTGTGTGTGTTTAATACACTAAAGTCGCATTATGTAATATCAGTGAAAAGAACAACGTGTTTCTCTATTCAAATGATGTGCAATGTCTGATGTAAAATGTGGCATCACCATACCATCTGTTTCGCAATTCACAGGTCTCCCGTGTAGTTGGTTTGCACCACGTGTTGTTTGACATCGTTGTCAGACGTTTTGCTCCACATGCTGGGAGCTATTTCAGGAGCCGATCGACGCATGGTACAACCCGAAGCACACACACATCGGAGAAGCTACACAGTACAAGCGTGGAATCCCAGCCGTAGTTTTGCAACACAGCTGCACATTTTTGGTTCAAAGTTCATATCTTGAATCATCAATGCAGCACATCCTAGGAGGCCCAAACCCCCAACCCCTCCTGTCTTTCCTGGATGGCCTAAGCCCAAGAAGTTGTCATGAACCAGGCAGGTCATCTAGGCAATGGGAAATCCTTGCTGAGCCTTTGAATTAAGGAGAAAAGAAACGAGCCAATGCAGGAAATAAAGGTGAAAAAAACCACAAAAGATAAATAAGATAACTGACACCAAAATGTTATTTGTCTCCATATAGACAAATTAATTTGGTTCTCGTGACGAATTTGCCAACGTGTACACATTGCATAACACATCACTACTGCGTAGGTATTTGCGGTTGTGCTCTACAGCACTCCGACGTGTTTTTGGGTTGTATGTGGTGCGAAACGTCAGACATCAATTTCAAACAACACCGTGGTGAAAACCTACACACATCGGTGAGGGAAAATATCAATCACCATGAGGATAAATGTTTTTGCTGTGTTGCCAGGTGATCGGTGCAAAAGCATCCAGCACCGAGACTGCTGTTGCAGCTGCAACGAGAAAATATGATCTTGAACAAAGTCACGTGATCTCAGGCGCATTCCAGACGATTCTGTAAATAAGTTTTAGACCAACAATGCGTGCGACTTTATTTCCCCAATGTCGCAGCCGATGGTAAATAGAGAAATAAATTAACACGCTGCTGTTGGCAATGACATTGCAGAAAACAAAATCCCCATTTGATTACTGCGTGTTATTAATACAATATGCTTCAATTCTGAATATAATATTCTCCTGTTAGGATTCTCACCTGCTTGCAAAGTCATGTCTTGGATTCACTTCAAGATTGCCATTATTGTAAGAGTCCTCATGGTCTGACCCATTTCTCTCTCATCTCACTCCCTTCTTACAAATCCCATAGTCAACCTCCATTCCATGGGAGGGCACTCATCAGCCGGTTGTATCAACAGACGCCATACAAATGTGCATATTATTGTGTGGTCTAAATGTTTGGTCATGTTTGTTCATCGTGTTGATGAAGGACAACTGGTGAGAAATACTGAATATTAACTTAAGTCCTCACTCCACGTGCTCACTCCACGTGCTGGAGGAGGAAGAAGTTTCCAGCACGCGGGGAAAAACTTTGGGCATCGTGCTGAGAGATACGCGAGGTACAACCAAAAAACAGCATCAGAGGGCCCATTCTTTCTTCGTGTGTTATTGATCCAAATTGGCACATTATTTAAATATCACGGACAACTGCATGTTTTAGGCTCTAAATAAATGGCTCGAATTATACACTGCATGACACTACTTCAAGAGATGTATTTCTTTCATGTTAGCTTTCTTGTTTGGATGCCTTCATTTGCATGCACAGTAATAACAAAGTTCAATTACCATGGTGAACATATTTGCCCATCTTTAATGCTGATAATTCGGCGGGTATTCCCAGAAAACCTGCACTATATTATTGAATTAATCAAGGAATATTAATTATGTGCATTTTTACAAAGCACATTTTTTGTTACAAATACATTACCTCTTCTGAAAGGATTCTAATTGATCTCAACAGCGCGCTTAATTTTTTTCTGAAAATTTCACGTAATTAGATATCACTGCACGATCACATAATACATATTGAACGTGTTAGACATTCTGCTATTACACCTCACACTGGACATTAACCAGGCTATTAAGCCGCTTCGTGTTCAATTTTGTAATATTAACACCAATTAGGAAGGGACCTTGCTTTTGAATTTTGAGAACCTGGTATATATTCAGTCCTGGAATATCAAAACCTGGAGAGACACCATATATGTTGAAGGCGTAAAAGTGAAACATTTTCCCGTCTTGAGACTGCAGGGTCAGCGTAACATTTGGCGTACGAAAGACGCAGGGATAATCTCCCTCGAAAGTGACTTGAAAGATTATATCCATTAAGTAACCGACCCAAATAGTTCTGTAACCTTCGGGGATTTCGTCCATGTGTGGGCCAAGCTGCCGCGTGGAGAGGGCACCGCTGTCGTGGGCCCGCACCTCGTAGAACGTCGCGTTCCCGTGCGTGTAATAGCAAACGTACGCCCCAGGATCGGGCGGGGACGGCTGCCTCAGCGTCTCTCGGAGCGCCGGGACGAGCAGCCGGTACGCCTCGACCGGCGGGGTCGACGCCTCGGGGCCGCCCGCCCGACATGAGCGTGATGAAGGAGAGCTTGAGCGTGGACACCAGCGAGAATGTGGCCGTGTAGCCGTCGATGTCGCCGTCCTTCCTCACCACGTCGTACCCCGACCGCTCGTCCGTCTCCTACGGCGTGCCGGTCTTGTGGGCGAAATATCCCTCCTGGCACTCGTGCAGAGGAGCCAGCGTGGTCCAAACGGTGCCTTGTTGAAGAAGCGCACCGCCGCGGTTGCCTTCGACTTTGACTTTGCCGACACCTCTGTACAAGCCGTGGAGGAGCATGGCAAGCTTGTCCAAGTCCCTGGTGGTGGAGTACATTTGGCCCGCGGGGTGATACCAGTCCAGGTCGCAGAGGGGAGCGGCTTCTCCACTGCTGTAGTATCCGGGGCTGACCTCGGAGAGCGTGGCGGGAGTGAAGTCGAAGCCGGTATCCTCCGTGCCCAGCACGTGCTCTTCCACCCACGTCTGGTAGTCGCCCTCGGCCGTGTGCTGAGCCAGCGCGTGCACGATGAGCGAGAAGGCCAGGCTGCTGCAGTGGCACCTAGTAAAGAATAACGCATCGCAGCAATGGCAGTGCCAGCGGTCACGAACGATAACGATCGGAGCGGGTGATTTGTAATAAGGTAAAAGAGGAAAGGTCGGGGGTTTGATGGGAGGTGGTACCAACACAGCATGTGGACGACTGTATGCAGCATTCATATTTGCTGGTGAAATAGATTGAGGTATTACATTTTACCTTGTTCCAGGATATGAAACTAAAACATCGTCTCGCAAAAGAGATAAAGCCTCTTCCGTGTTGCCATTCCATAGCAGGTTTGTACCTCGGAGTCTTCTGGGTAGTCCTACAAAACAAAAGAAAGGACTTCCTCATTTTTTATGAAGCTCATGTATTTTTTTTTTCAAGAGCTAAAGGTGCAGCCCTGCAATTGCTTGCTCACACCACTTCCAGTAAAAAAGGCCCTCCACTATAGGGAACTTTAGACAGCCCTTCTAGTGGGTATTTGGCCTACTCGTCCACGCTGGTCAGACGTTTTGGAAGAGGTGGGAGCACTCACACTTTTCCCCACTTCACTCGATCAACGACTGGTGGTGTACCCACCCATTGATGCTGCAGAGTGCGCAGAGGCTACCAAGAAGTTGAAACTGGCGACCTCTGAACTGTAAGTACGCTGTGCTAAGCAGTACAGCACGGCAGCATGGGACAGTAAAGCGAAAATTTTGCATAATTTTCTATCTGGAAAATAATTGCAGAGAGTTTAAACTTGCTCTGCTCTACTGGATATTTGTGAAAAAATAGCGCTTCACATCTCATCGGATAAATACAGATTCTGATCCTGATTCTGTTCTTTAAAAAAAACATACAATGCATGATCAATGTATGGACAACATTAGACAAGTGGAGTGTTTATTCTTATCTAAAATGTAGCCACATGCAAGCAAACACGTGAGAGTAAAACTATTGAATGATGCAAACACACTTTAAAAATAACTTTAAAAATAGCTTTTAAAGTGTGTCGAACTGGTCCGGGCTCTTCTAGTGGTACAAGTTTGGGTGAGAGAGGGTACATTTTTATTTCGTCTTAAAGGTTCTGTTGTTGCTCTGTACAACAACAACAACCGCCATTCGCCACTAAGTGGCGGTGACGTCACCACGACGCTTGTGCCAGGCCATGTGCACCTTGAGGCCACGTGAAGTGTCGAACGCCCGCGGGAAGGAGGTCACGGGGCAGACCCAGGTGCTACGGGTCGACTGACTGAAATGATTGGCTGGTGCACCACCTGTGCCCCCTACTGTGCCAACCTGCTGTGCTTTAGCCACCCGGCGCTCCGCTCGTTGTTGTGAGTGTCGCTCCTCTGCCCTCCGTTGTTGTTGGAGGGCGACTGCCTCCAACTGCCCAATAGCGTCCTTCACGAGCCTCCTCCACAGAGGCCGATCTTGACACCGCTGGTACCATTCATCGGCAAGTCCACTCAGCTCCACGTCCTCCTGTACCACATCACTCCATCTCTTCTCTAGCCCGTGCCACGCCCATTTAGCCCCCTCGATCCGGCCGAACAAAAGCTGTTTCGGCATGCGGTGGCTGGGCATGCGGGCTATATGACCCAGCCAACGCAGCCTTGCCTCTGTACACACACACACAAAATAACAGCGTATACGATACATTCGTTTGTTGTTTCAAGGCGTGAAAAAAAAAAGATCGAGTTTAATATTACGGGTGCAAGAGATGGATTGCAAACATGGCGTCTGTGACTTTGGCGTTCGTTCTCCGATCCATGTGCTTCTCTTTCCGTCCGAGTGTAAGAGGAGCGCTCATCACTCCACGAGGTAACGGGGGGGGGACTCTTGCTCACGCCTGATGCTGCTGCACGGGATCTCCGGCGTTACGGTGGACAATGTTGTCAAAAACGTTCTGCTTGCGTTTCGGCAATTCGGGTTTGCTGACAAACCGAATCGATTGGCATGGTTTTCCCGCATTTACGTGATCTAACCCAAGAAAAAAACTTTATTAAGGATGAATTTGGTCGCGAAAGCTTAGGTGTTGAACTGATGTTTCCCACGTTACGATTTGATTTGATTGGCTTATTCAGATGGTGCACGAGGGTTGCAGTAAAAAATAAATGTACACTATACCAACATGATTCAACCCAAAATAAAGCAATTATGAATCCTATTGATCATGAAAGCCTGCTGATATGTATATAATGCCGCTCGCCATGTTTCTATGCACACTTTTCAGATTTTCTTCCGTTTTCTCCATCAATGTTCATGCTTTCCGAACCATGTTATAGCAGGCAATATGCAACGATGTTAAACCTACTACTTCAGGCACATTGCTTTTCATTATTAAACTCAGTTTTCCAAAAGTACTACCACCTGCTATCACTCGCCTATTGATTCAATCGTTTTGATGCTGGCTTACCATCAATATGAGCCAAAAATCCCACATTTGTGGTTAACACACGTTTCACTTGCCCTGTAATGTACGCATTTAATTTCTAATACAGCACAATCTATTTATCGCATTATTGTGTTTTTTTTTTAAGTGATTTAAGTGCAACCGTCCACAAAATATAGCATTTTTAAATAATATGAATTAGGGGCACATTTTTACAAATACCTCTCACGAGGTTGCATTCGGAACATCCACCACAATCATTTAGACAAGGAATAATTCTGATATATGTACAGCATGGGGGGAAAAAAATATGCTTTAGATTATATGTATACTCACGCTTTTCCTTTTTGAGAAGAATACACTGCAAGAGGAAACATCCCATCATGAAAAGAGACAGGAGCAGGGAAAATATCATTCCATAAAGAGCTCCTCCTCCTCCTCCCACCACCATGGCGATTTACTGAGGCCGAGGCCCAGTGGCTGAAGAAGTAAAATAATAATAATATATTAGCTATGAAAAAGAAGGAACTTGTTAAAATGGCGCTTTGCATCCATTACGCTGTACAGCGTCCATCAAGTGTCTGTCTTAGAGGCACCACCGTATTTAGCTCCCCGATGTGTTTACTGGTGGCATCACGCTTCGTTGGATTGTTCGACGTGAATGTGGACGACTTCGTCCAGAAACCAAACTGAAGGAGCTCCCAGGATGTGGAGCGGAAACGTCGGGCATATTGCGCCGAACAGCACGCGGTACAACCCCAAGACACATCGGGGAGCTGTACACAGCAAAGGCAAAGATCCCCCGTGTAGCCTTCACCAGACTGTTGGGGCAAGGTGCTGTTAGCGAGAAGCACCTATGAAGGGGGTGGGTGACCTGCACAACCATGAAAACGTACAACACTGACATATTAGGTTTACAAGCATCAGATTTCAACACCTGAAACTTGGTCCTGAGTGCCATTAGCAGTATTGGTGAGATTGCGTCTTTTAATTATTAATTATGCTTAGCGAGTATGCCCATTATGGTCACAATAACTGTTTCTCCCACCGCAATTAATCTATTTGTTCAATCCAATTATTTTGTAAACATTACTCTGTGAGCCATGTTGTCTCCATGGATACTGTGCCGCTTCTGGTGTTCGTGCCAGGGCTGATCCCAATGATGCACGGCGATTACCATGGAAGACTTTGACCAAGAACCAATCCCCCTTGCATAATTCAAAACTCGAATTTAATAACATAAATAAACGTATCATCGTATCAATGCATTAGACGCGTGTTATTTGCGACGCATTGAACATTTTGTGCTTCGTAACCTAAAAAAAACCTCTCGTGATCATCATGTGCACCATTAGAAAAACAAAAACATTACTTTACCGTTGCTTAAAAAAATAAACACGTCTTGATATGATAACATCTCTATCACGTGACGCACGTATTTCTGGTAAACTTTGATATCGGATACTTTCTTTCAACGTGCCGAATACACATATAATGATTTAGTTTTTTTTTATTTAACCTCACAAAAGCGAATAAAGAAAAAAATACTGGCAACCGATGGATTGTCACGTCCAATACAGATGTACGGGTCTAAAGAAGTTGTGGTCGTGATCCAAGGCAGGAAACGAAAGCAGAGGAGTGTAAGAAAGTGAAATGAGACGGGTAATGAATATTGAACCATGAAGTCCAATCATGATCCAAATCGCATTCCGATTGGATACAATCTATGATACCTTTCCATCTGACCACTCAATATATGATACCTTTCCATCTGACCACTCAATATATGATACCTTTCCATCTGACCACTCAGTGGACACATCTGATACAGACATTTTTTTGCTTTGATTTGTGTCGCCAAAGTTTAAACCACGTTTGTACTTAGCCCAATTTCAATAGGTCAAGTCCCTAATAGGAACAGATATTTATCCTGAAGTTCTGTTGAAATTGGAACATGCTTACTGGAGTTATACTCCCCCCCCCCCACTCATTGCAGACGATGGAGAGACGGAGATGATCCATACACGGTTTCTACATTAGTTGGACAGTGTAAAGAAAATAACAAAGTTCCATACACAAAACAGGTAGAAAATATTGAACCACATTTTGTCATTAACAAATGCCACCTTGAAGGTTACGATATTAAATGAGCCAATTATTTTGTGAATGATCCTATTTCTGAACCGAAGAAAACAAATCCAAGTGCTTATTAGTGGCTCAGTAAACCTAGAAGAGGCTTAGACCATTGGCACAGAACGAAGGGGAATTAAACCTGGGTTGTATGGATCGTGGTACAGTGTGATAATCATTGTGTCGCGGCTCCGAAGAAATATCTATAACCGTACACAGATGTTTCCCCTTCGTCACAAAACGTGTTGGTATAAATACCGTTGGATATTATATATCTATATCATTGTCATATAATATCTATATTATGTAATGCAGCCATCACCCTACTTGGCCAGTTAGGTTTACCTAAACACAAATATAAAACACATGTGTGCAGATGCCAGATAACGTGTACATGTACACATATTAACTGCACGTGGGCTTGACGTCCGTACAATACGATCAAAATATGTCAGACACACGGTCGATCTTTTCTTTCTACCGAGTTACCACCGCTTGGACAACCCTCGACCGCTCGAGGACAGGGCCGGGGAAAGATGAGGCCACTCGCTCCACAAGTGGAGTGTGAGGGAGCAGCCCAAACGGTGACTGTGGCCACCGCCCAAATCAGCCGATCGCCCCACGTGACGAACTCCTGCCCTGAGACAGCCATTCCCGGTGGCATCGCGACCACTCACTCTGCCTCACCTGAAGCCGTTGAATGGATTGCTACTCCCCTCCGGCAGAAGGCTGCGGTCCATCAAGACCAAAACCTCACGCCACAAAAAACAGTTTCCTCCCACCGCTGCTGGCCTCTTCAACAAGGCCAAGGGCTTACACTGACTTTTACACTTACACTGACTTTTACATTTTATCTACAAAATGACACCTTGCCATATTTACACTATGTTAACCTATTTGTATTTTTTGTATTTTTAGATTGTATCTTATAGCTACTTTTTATTCAATATTTATTCAAAATTTTACATACTTTAGCCCCTTAGTGTTTGTACCTTTAGTATAGTTAGACTTGTATACCACTTATTTTAGATTTAAGATTACTATATGTTCCTGCCAAAGTAAATCCCTTGTATGTGCGAACTTTCATGGCGAATAAAACCTTTTCTGATTCTGATTCTGAAACTATAAACTATTTCCCCAGCCATACCAAGGAAAAGACCACCGCTTTAATCACTGCTGTATGTGGATGCATGCACAAAAGTGCCACTTGCGCTAGGATGTGTATATGCACTAGAGCTAACTCATTTTACAGAAACCACATGTACATTCCATACCAGGACTCAAATTCACGTTATTATTGTCACAAAAGCATCAGTATTTGTAAATATTTTCATAAACCTTACCTTATTGAAATTTTCAGGGCATCTGTGGACATTTTGGCTCTGCGAGACACTGATTTGGATGCACACATGGGGAAAAATCCCATGCAAACTCATTTGTATCTTTAAATGTCCCATCGGTGGCAATATTCGGTTTAAGCCCTTGTGTAATCTCTCAGAGCTATTCTAAGCCGGTGACGTTTTGCTCGGAATGACACGCTCATTCGCACTTCATTAACATGCACGACGATTCTTGATAATGTCCCCACGTTTTGTTGAGCACAGGTACACATCAGTGTAAGCCTTGGTGTGTTTAGTCCCATGTTATTCGATAAATGTTGTCGGTTTGCAGTGAGGGAAAAAAGTATTTGATCCCCTGCTGATTTTGTACGTTTGCCCACTGACAAAGAAATAAACAGTCCATAATTTTAATGGTAGGTTTATTTGAACAGTGAGAGACAGAATAACAACAACAAAATCCAGAAAAACGCATCTCAAAAATGTTATAAATTGATTTTCAGTAATAGGTCCAGTTTTGACATGCGTTTTTCTGGATTTTTTGTTGTTGTTATTCTGTCTCTCACTGTTCAAATAAACCTACCATTAAAATTATATACTGATCATTTCTTTATCAGTGGGCAAACGTACAAAATCAGCAGGGGATCAAATACTTTTTTTCCCCTCACTGTACATGCACGAATTTTATTGTTTTGTTTGAGATATTTATTTATTTTATTGTTTTCCTTCTACGTGACTTTACAGAAAGAACCAAGAATATGAAGCCGTTTAAATAGTTTAATTTAAATGTGATCCACACATTAAACCAGCAGTTCTCGACCTTGTTGCTATGGTGGCCTTCCCCCCCACGCCACCCCCATCAAGGACAGTGGTCACGCCACCCCCACATCCCTCTATAGATGAACAAGGCCAAGACGCAGCGATATATCTTCGCGAGTAAATCCTTCGGCTCACGCCGTGCGGCAGAGTGCGTTGTCGCCGCAACGTGGCGCCGACGAACCAACCCCTCCCCCATCCCCGCTGCGGCATTTTTGAAATTTCTCCTGCACGGTGTCCATGCCTGCAGCCGGCGGCCTGCAGCCCACAGCCCAGCAGCCCTTGACAGGGCTTTCGCAACTTTCACGGGTCGGGAGCGACCGCATGAAACCGCACCGCTCGCTGCGTCTCCCCCGGGGTCAGCAATAGCCCCACCGCGGCCTGGGGACACTAATCCAGAGTGCAGAAATATCCCCAAATTTGTGGTATTCACATCTAATGCGGCGTCAGCTCTGAGAGGCTTAGGGAATGGCAGGGACAGGGTTGGAAATAGACAGCCGGTACAATTGGAAGGAACTTTCATGAAGTGGGGGGGCGTGGGAAGGGGGAGGGGGAAGGGTTTGGTGGTGGGGGGGGGGGGGGGAGAATTTCAAATTGTCCCACAAAGTAATTTACGAATTGCACCGTTATAACGATGAGGAATAAAAGTGTAGCATTGTGTACAGCCACCTTCAGGATTAATTTAAAAGACGATTTTACCTGTTACGTGATGGCATGTATCAGATGCCCAGATATTGAATTAAGCAAAATATAATAAAAAAAAAAAACTTCAAGCCCACGAGAAAAGAAATAACTGAAAGCAATAATTATATATAATAATTATATATAATAATACATATATAATAATTATATAATTATATGCACAATAAATAATGCCCGACTTCGCGTCCCCTTAAAATGGCAAGCTTGGCCAGAGGTTTAATACCGTCACTAACATTGTGCTTGTCACATCAACCATTCGTTATTGTGACACAGACCAGACTTATTAAATGCACGCAAATACCTTTCTCAGTTAAAGATACCATTTCCAGGACCACTGTCATAGAACATCCCCGTGATATTAATTAATTATGACTGCTTTACAGGTATTGAGTAATCAATTATTATACGGATACTCCACTTATCACGAACGAGTAAGTTTCCAGAGGTCTGTTCATAAGTCGTTCTTAAGTCCAACTTTACTCCTGTCGATTACAT